TCATTCGATTTGTTAATGTTGTATTACACGTTGAGAATGAATATAATACACTTTTTAATATTATAATAGTATTCATTTAGTACTATAAATCAGATTATATTAAATCGATCCATTTGAATATAGAAATTATCAATTCATTTCGTTTGATTTGTAAAAGTCTTGACAAGCTCAATAAAGAAAAGATCAACGTGGGGATTAATTAATTTATCTTAATGAAAATTATTTTCTTAGGTTGTAAGCTATTAGAATTTTCATATTTTGAAACGTTCTATTTTTGGAGCTAATTAAATAAGAAAAAAATATTTTTCGTTTTATAATTGATCAACAGAAAAAAAATGATGCAATCAAGGGAAAACAAAAGCATTGACACTAGATGGTTTCCACTTATCCATTGAAAGTAATGAAATTCAAACATTTCCTTCGAAGTCCAAAAGAGGAAGGACTAGAAATGCTTCTAAATTAATTGATCTTTATTTAGCTTAAATTTTTTTTGTATAATTGTACTATGTAATTTATGCTTAATTTGTACGTAATAAAGAATTAAGAAAACAAAATTATTAAAAAGATAAAATATTTAATTCATATTAATAAAGAAATATATATTAGATGATAATATGATTTTATATTCACTAATAAGATGGTTATACCTACTTGTATATACATAGGCAAACAGCTATGTACACATATGTGTACATAGACACTTCCTTTTTTTTGAAATTTTAGATTCTTGTTTCTTTGCTATTTAGGCGATATTATAATTGAACGATGGCTTCCCTATGACCGTCCAACTCAACGCCATTCAATCATTGAACCTGATCCTCGTGCTCTTATATATCCAAAACCGCGTAATCAGGTTGTTATTTATGAAGCTGTTAAATCATGTATATGTCGATAATTTCAATACCTTGGTGTTAACCCAGAAAATCCTGCCGATTATGTAGCTCGTTATGAGGCGTCACTTTTAGGCGCAGCAACAGTTATTCAACAGGCTCGTGATTAGAGTCCGTCAGATAGGGCCTGAACCCATACCCGGATCCGGATCCAAATATCATGGAACTTTAGTATATGCTAAACGGTTTCTCAAGACCATATGAGATTTTTCTAAAGTTCCGTAAACTTATAGGTTTCGTTTAGTAATCGTTCCAGTTCCGTAGCTGAAAGAGTTTCGTAGAAACCTTTTCAAGGTATCATATTCAAAAGGTTTTGTACTAAACTATTTCATATATCGTACGAACAAATATTTAGTATTCAGAAAACCGACCGATCTCAATCTCTCTATCGTTTTAATTACTGATCAATGTCTAATGAAGTTTGCACATTTCATTGCTATTTTCCTTTGAATTGGTATGTTTCGATGCTAATCGTTTTCCTGAGACAATATAGAAAGCTCATTAATGTCATAACTTTTGCTCTTCATTCTACTTTTTCGCAATGTCTATTGTTTCAAACTATTTGCAATTTTAATCAGTAACTTTTATCCTATCATGAGCACATTTATTTTTAAAAAGTTATTCTCCTTGCAACGTTTATTTTCATGTCATTTTAATCCGCTAGAATGTTACTTTGCCACAACATGACACTTGTCAATGCTGGATTTAATTGAGACACTGGTAATGTATATACACATAAACGCAGATATTAGACCATTAGTAGAAGTATAGGAGGTAAACATAGATCTACACGAATATCGGCAGCTATAGAGGAACACAGAGTATCAATTTTGTCATCAATATATATATATATATATATGTGCTAGGCATGAATATAGATGTTAAAAGCACATAGCTTAATTTAGAAATACATATAAAAGTTAAGTCATAGATGTAAGCCTTCATGGTTAGTTTTAAGGATTAAGTCATACACATAAATATTTAGACATAGATAAAAAGATTACATATTGACATAACGATCTCAGCATTGTTACAAGAAATTATGTATAGAGGACAAGAGCTAGACACAAATATCTCACGCTAGTAATAGTTTTCAACGTTAAAGTATCGATATAAGTGGTTACATATAATTTTTAGTCATCATATATAGCTATAAAGGTTTAGAAATCGTTTTAAGGATTACCTTATATATAAAATCGTGAGGTAGAGTTCTAAGACATCTCATAACGGTATAAGAAGTTAGACATAGTTTTAATGGTTAAGACATAGGTATAAAAGATTAGATATAGTTTTAAGAATTAAGGTATAGATACAACGATTTAGATAACATTCTAAGGATTTAAAGCATAAATATTACGAGTCAGCAATATATGTAAGGGAATATTCATAGTTTCCAGGGTTAAGTCACAGATATCAGAGTTAGACATTCTTTCAAATGTCAAGACATAGAATAAGGGTTCTACTAGGGATGTCAGTATATCAATACAGTATTGAAGTGTTTATATTCATATTGGTATTGATTCTCTATCTGAAGAGAAGTAAAAGCCGAAATTTTGAAAAACTGATTACGGATTCGGATTCTCTGACCCCGAACTCTTTGCATGAGACCTTATAAACAATCGTTACTGCCTCAAAATAGTCTTCCCCTGATGAAATAAACAAGCTTGAGAGTTTTTAGAAACTATCATAAGTTCGTGTTCCTTTTTTCATCAGAGAAAGGTTATTTCGAGAAGGTAACAAGTTTTTATAAAGTTTGAACAAAAGTTTCTCCAAGCTTGAAGAATCCGAATCTACAACCGGTTTTTCAAAATTTCCGAGTTTAACTTCTTTAGGTAGCGAGTCATCACATATATTATCAATACCAATACCATTCAATACCAGATGATATTGGTAATGTTACATCCTGAGGTTAGACATAGTTTTAAGGCATAGAATAAGGATTTAGAGTGTCAAGAGTTAAGCTATGGAATAAAGGTTTACATTGTGTTAAAACATAGAATAAGCATTTAGGTGTAGGTTTATGGATTAGGATAGAGGTAGAAGCGTTCGAGATAGGATTCAGAGTTACGCGCAAGCAGAGTTTATACCTAACATAGATCTAGATAGATCGATTTGGGTTTCAAGAGTAAGTGAATGAATAGAATGGTATTAGCTTGAATTTCGTGCAAAATCTTGGGTATGAAACCTTTTTAGAAGCCATCGAAAAATATTGTTGTACAGAACCTGGAATATGAAACGTTTTTTTATAGTAGATAAAAAACGGTATTGTACAAAACCAAAAACAGATTTAGAATTCATTTCAAATCTCTGAATCCTTTTTTAGCTTCGTATAGTACTTTTCTTTTTTCAGTGTAAGATTCGGATCTAAATCAATTTTCGATGCATATGAGAATATTTTTCGAAGTTCTACTTATCTTCAGTTTTCTCTGAACAGTTAGTTGCTTTTGGTTGTTAGCGTTTCAAATAACTTGTTTCTGTGTTCAATAGAACACTTTGGTTTTGTGTCAGAGAGACGAGATCTAGTCCGGGTCCAAAAGTCTTGAATTCAACGGGCTCTACTCGTGATGCTGGTATTATTGGAGCTATAGTGAATTTTTTTCTAAAAAAAAGAAAACGCCAACAAAACAAATATATATAAACTGTTTATTGTAGTCCTGTTCGCCACGATCATCTTCAAAATATACAAATATACGCAGAAAGACTTTAGATTTTGATAAGTCAAATGAAACAATCACTCGAGGTTTTCCATCATCAACTGGAACTAATTGTGGAGAAATTCGACGAGGTGCTGATACAGATGCTTTTAAGGTTGATAATACAAGTTATTCATCATCATCAGCCAGCTTGATTGGTGACAGTACTTTAGCTGGCAATATTAGTAAAACCCAAAGTGGATATCATGGTAGTGGTGTTAGTCTTACTGGTATTTGTGCCGATGTGAACACCCACTCTTGTATAATTAATGTGTGCACTGTAATTTCTCCTTTCTGTCATCACTAATCTTACGCCATCATGCATTATGTATAATTTAGATTATCATCTATTAGCCATTCTACTTTAACTATGTGCGTAACGTGTGCATTCCTTTTTCTTTTTCTCTCTTGCTCTCTCTTTCTCTTCGGTTGATTGACTCGCCGCCGGGGAAAAGATGGTGACTATAATAGAATGATGTAGTTTGAAATAAAGATAGTTGAAAAGACAATATAGCTTTTGTCAGGTCATAGCAAGTGAGCCAAACATGCTAACCAAAGAAATGTGGTTCACTTCATATAAAGAAAATCGACCAATCAAAATGCGACTCCTTAGTTTACCACGATCGAACCATTTTTTCGAAAACAGAACAGTATAGTGCTCACGACCCGGAAGTGCCATTCTCAAAACAGAACAATAGTACTCACAACCTAGAAGTGCCATTCCCAAAACAGAACAATAGTACTCCAACCCGGAAGTGCCATTCCCAAAACAGAATAATAGTACTCATAACCCGGAAGTGCCATTCCAAAAACAGAACAATGATATTTTGATGCCGGAAGTACCATTCCCATAACAGAACAATTGTATTCTGTTATGGGAATGGGACTTCCGGGTTGTGAGTACTATTGTTCTGTTTTTGGGAAGGACACTTTCGGGTTATGAGTATTATTGTTCTGTTATGGGGATGGCACTTCCGGTATCAGGGTACTATATATATAAAATGGGTATAATATGGACTAATAGACTCAACCTTGGCTCACTTCATATAACCTAAAAATGGTAAAGTATGGATTTTGGACTACAGTTTGAATAGCGCCAACTTTGGTTCACTTCACGTGACCCTTTTGTCATTACACTTCCCCTCGGACAGAAAAAATTGCCTTTTTCTATTAGCTCGTTCTCCTCTGGTTTTTATTATTATATCTTCATTCATATATCTATGGATAGAGCAAAGAGTAAACTACACATATATATATGTAGTCCATTTGATTGGCTTATTATTTCAAATTTCTTCGACATATACAAAAAGGTCCCATTTTCGTGACATTCGACTAACAAAAAGTAATAATTTAAACTATAATAAGATATGAAAGTGGGTCAAGAAAAGATGACAATTCCGACGAGACAGAAGAGAATGTGTATCCAGACAAGTGGACGAGACAAAAAAGAATATATAGACCATAAAGAACAAAGAAAAAAAATGAAAGATAAGTAGGGCATCATATATATATACACTACTTGTCAAAAGTATCTCTCCTCTCGGATCTCAGTCACGATATCAGCTGTAGGTCTGAAAACTAGTGTACATATAGTTCTCGATGAATGCTGATCAGCGATACCATCTGCATCTCGATTGCCTGAAGTATAAGAAAGTTATAATGTATGCGGTCTATCTTCACTGTGGACTTCATAACTCAGGAACGGGAAGACTTTAGAGATCGGAATCGGTTTCATTATGTAGTTCTGCTCTTTGACTATCTGTGGTAAAAGTTTCATCGAAATTCAATGAGTCGTTGTGAAGCTAGAACCATTTTACTGTAAGTATCAATATATGGCAAACCCGACCTATCCCATTGTGTACTTCATAAATCAGTGAAAGTTCAACAGATCGACTTCAAACGTACAGGAGAGGTTGCTCCACAGACCCTTATTGTTTTCTGAAAATTTCAGACTTATATCACATACTAGAGAGAAATGGCACTATGCACAAGTTCCAGATGTTGTCATAGGTCTAGCTACTCGGATACTCAAGCAATTGGCCTTATTTTTTGGGTACATAACTAACACATAAGGGCGCACAATTCTACCAAAAAGAAGTTAAAAAATTCACCAGGTACCATGGAAAACAAGACATAAACTTTTTATGGTCAATTTTTCTCTTACTGTCCCACTCTCAAGATAACGGTGTCAAAATGAACTTGTGAGGATACTATGTTCGATATACAGAAGAATTTAAAAGCATTTATCTATCTAATTCAACTCTCTCGAGGGTCTTCTGATAGTTTCCATCATGATGGTGAATCAGAGTATGTATGGGAGCAAGAGTATGGGTGAAAATTGGTATGTGATTGTGCAAGAGATACGAATCCACACTTTCACTCCCTTTCTTCTTCAGCTCTGTCAGAATGAGAGAAAAATTCATTATAAAAAGTTTATGTCTTGTTTTCCATGGTACCTGGTGAACTTTTTAACTTTTTTTTGGTAGAATTGTGCTCCCTTATGTGTTAGTTATGTACCCAAAAGATGAGGCCAATTGCTTGAGTATCCGAGTAGCTAGACCTATGACAACATCTGGAACTTGTGCATAGTGCCATTTCTCTCTAGTATGTGATATAAGTCTGAAATTTTCAGAAAACAATAAGGGTCTGTGGAGCAACCTCTCCTGTACGTTTGAAGTCGATCTGTTGAACTTTCACTGATTTATGAAGTACACAATGGGATAGGTCGGGTTTGCCATATATTGATACTTACAGTAAAATGGTTCTAGCTTCACAACGACTCATTGAATTTCGATGAAACTTTTACCACAGATAGTCAAAGAGCAGAACTACATAATGAAACCGATTCCGATCTCTAAAGTCTTTCCGTTCCTGAGTTATGAAGTCCACAGTGAAGATAGACCGCATACATTATAACTTTCTTATACTTCAGGCAATCGAGATGCAGATGGTATCGCTGATCAGCATTCATCGAGAACTATATGTACACTAGTTTTCAGACCTACAGCTGATATCGTGACTGAGATCCGAGAGGAGAGATACTTTTGGCAAGTAGTGTAACTATTTAAGTCGATGAAAAATCTTGAATAAACCATATTTGATAAAAATGAACAAAATTCATTGAGATTCGAATGATTATCAGATATTTTTGGAAGGAAAATGAGAATCTTTGATTGAATAGAAATGAATTCTTCATCCATATTTGATAAAAATATTCTTTCAAATCAATTTCAAAGAAATGAGAAACGCTATCTTAATGAAAAGTTTTGGTTGGAATGACTTGAATTCTAAAGGAGACAAAGGAAATTCTTTTGGGATTTCTTCAATCATTTGTTGAGTTTAATCTGTTTTTATTCCATTTCCTGATGAACGATTGATTGATTTTCATTGAAATTCGAATGAATTTTTTGTGAATTTCTTTTATTAAAAATCAAAACCGATTATTATCAAAAATTTGAATAAGAAATAGTTCCAGATGATTGTCATTTTCTCTTTGCAAATAAAGGAAAATTTTCGCTGGTTTTTTTCTCATGGAGAGAGTCTGATAATTGATTTCAATTATCAGTTTGAATGTGAGTCGAATGAAGTGATTTAATAAAAAGAGAATTTGTTTGAATTGTGTTAAATTCATTTCATATCAATTGGAATGGAGGTACCCAAATGCAAAGATAAACATTTTTGTTTTGAAGAAAATTTTCTCCCTCAATGTGAAGAAAAACTTTGATGAGAAATGAAATCTGAATGTCGATTATATTTGAATTTGATATGAGATATACATCGTTGTTACTTTTCTTTGATTCGATTAAGGCCCCCCCACCACTCAAAAATCGATCTCAGTCCAAGAAAGTTCAAATGGGCTGAAACTTGGAGCATATGTTGGGGCTGAAGTGAGGAGGCTGTGATAAAATTTTCAGCTCGATACCCTAATGTTTGACAGAGATATGAAACAAACAAAGGCCAAAAATAGCTCATTTGGCAATCCATTTTTCTTTGTCCAGGCTCTTTCAATGTATTTAATTTTTCTTTGTTTGAAAGAGCATCTCAGGACGCAGTGCAGTACAGAGTCCTTTTTTTTAAATTCTTACTTTTTTAGCGAAAAAAGGGAATCACAAGTTCAATGACTCAAAAAACGCGCCAAAAATGGTTGTCTAATTACATATATGACTGTATATATAATAAAAAATAAAGCTTAATTAAAAAAAGGACTCTGTACTGCACTGCATCTTGACGTGCTCTTTCAAACAAAAAAAAATTAAAATATATTGAATGAGCCTGGACAGAGAAAAATGGATTGCGCGGTTCAGAAAGCCTAAACTGAGAAAAAACGAAAAACATTTTTCGTTTTTTTTAAAATAAGCATATTTTTCAAGAAGAGCTTAACAAAAATCATCGAAAACTTTGACCAAAAACGAGGTGCCGAAGAAAAACCAATATGATTTCTGAAAGAGCAGAAGACGGGCTATCTTCCGATGCATTTATCTCAATTTCGATAATTTTGACGAAAATTGATTTTTTTTGAGTGGGGGGGGGGCCTTAAGAATTAGCTATTATTAAAAAGATGCCTTCTCTTTGTTTTTTCTTGTTTGGTACTGAAGCATTGAGAAAACGTCAACTTCAACCGATGTACTACAAGCACACACATACAAACTTATTTTATTTCATGTGGTCGTCCCTTCAGTCGAAGGAAATCTGAGAAGAAATTGACACCAGCTCTGATGCGAAATTTTTTTCACATTCTGCCCCCTAATCTTGTTCATCTCTTAACAATATTGGATTCAATGGATATTTTTCATGAACAACTGAAATAAGAGATTTGACGTTTTCTCTCTAAAGATAAGACAGCATTTGGTTCAGACATCTTCATGATTTTATTAATCCAACTCATCAATACAGAGATGACATACAAACACAAACGATATTCAATATTCATTCTTCATTTTCCGCCGATCATACATACGCAAGGTGGAACAAATGGACAGATACACATAGTTTTATGAGGGCATCTTTTATCACCCCACCCACTGCATGTTGCTTGTGAATCATCTATAGGACCAGCTTGAACCAATATTGTATAACAACTAATGATGAATATCATCATTATTGCAAGTATAATCAATTTTGCGGAAGCCATTATATTAGATTTCGATGTTGTTGGAAGATGAAACGACAAAAGTGGTTGCTGTGTGGGTAGCTGCTTCGTCTTTTATTGATTTGAGAAGAAGAAGACAGCTGATTTTATTCTCATAAGCACATCCACCTTTCATCATCGTAAGATAAGAAAGAAAACATTACTTTTTAAGTATTCAATTTTGATTAGGGTGTGGGTGTGGGTATAGGTGTGGGGTGAGTGTGGATAAAACGAAGACTCCGACACTCACATCTACACCCGAATTTCGACTATTACTAATTCGGGTGTGGGTGTGGGTGGGGTGTGGGTGTGGGTGTAGAGTGTGGGATGTGGGTATGAGTGAAGAGACGATAAACACCCACACCCAAATAAATTCCTGTATCGTTTAGAAGTTCATTATGAATTCGAATGGAAAAATCTAAAACAAAATTGAATAGTAAAATTATTATTTTAATTACTTTTGAAATTGCTTCTTGTTCTTTCTTATTTGTTTCAAGCATTTCTTCTAATGAAAGTGGTACACTCTTTGTTGTATTTGTTCTATGAACTTCACTACTATTTGTTGTTGTTATTTCATTAACTGTTGATTCTTCTCGTTCAATTCATCATCGCCATTTTGTTTCTTTTTACTTTACTAAGTTCATTGTTTTTCGACGTTTTAAACTGAAACACACAGAATTAATCAAACTGCATACTCAGATGATTTCGATTGTTTATGTGATGAATGTCGATATTCTCTGTAAAATTAAATTGATAACTATTTCAAAAACAAATTCAAGTAATATACCTTTCTTTACTTGTACTTCTATGTCGTTTTTTTAAATCACGAGATGGTGATGTACTTTCAACCATTCTTTATCTGAAATAACAAGAAAAAGATATATATATTCATCAGACATACAGAATCTACCCGTGTGCGCGAACGGTCATTTGGAGAAATTTTTAAAAATTTGGTAGTATCGGGGAAAATTTTTGAAAATTTAATAGCATCTGAGGAAATTTTTTGATAAGTATTTTCTCTCATGGGAGAAATTTTTCAATGAATCCCAGTTTATTTATGTATACATCGATAAGATCTTTTACTTTTCTTTTGAATAAACTTCTGAAAGACTCATCCATGTCTCTATCGTAGTGTCAATATCGCCTACCTTTGTTTACTTTTATCATGCATCTTGCTATTTCTTTCACTCTGTCTCTTCGTGCCAATTCTTGATATAACACGCACTGTTTGTGTTCTCTTATTTTCTTTCTATAATTCTGCCTAATGGAATGCCACTACTTACTGTTTTTTCTTTTCTCTGTTGCTACATACAGTTGCTATTGTATGTGCATATGCGTACACAAGCACTAGGATGACTAATATATGATCATCAGCAACCGAACTGAACCTTTGTTTTTGGTTGGAGTTCAGTTCAATTCGAATTTACTATTGAAAAATTATTTTTGGTTCGGCTCAGTTCAACTTCATTTTTGAAAAGTAGTTCGAGTGTGGTTCTATTCTAGTAGTCCTAGTTCCATCGAATCAGAAGGGTACGATAGGCAAAAATTCGACTCTGAAATGATTAGCGTGTCATTTTGGAGTTGATATTGGTGTAAATTAATACTTATTGCAAATTCACTCAATAATTATTTTAGCCGAATGAAAGATAGATAATGACTATTTCATATAAAAAACTGAACAATACCAAGTTTGAAAACTTGTTTCTCCTGTTTTAGTTAGTTTAAATTGTTTACGAAAGGTACAAGTAATCAGATTACCTGAACCAAACGATATTAAATAGTAGCATTTTTTTAATGTGTATTTACAATGTGTTAAATAGTGGTAGTTGTTTTATTTTGGATAAATATCTTCAACAAGAAAACTCGTTTTTTAATTGAATTTTATAGCGAGGGAAATTTTTTGCAAAAATTTTGCTGTTCGGGGAAATTTTTTATTTTATCAGCAGATTCTGCACGCCTGATATTCATATACAAGTTTCAATTGAATCCTATGAAATATCAAAGATATTTTGTAATTTCACTCGCGTTATTTCAAGTCTTTCACTAATTCCTAATTTATATATTATATTACAGTCAGCAACAAACGTTTAAGCGAATATGTCGGAAAAGACGAAAAGTGAAATCAGTTCTTACAAATTCTCTCTTATCACAATTTATTATACGCTATTAGAAAGAGTATGCAAAACTGTGCATTTGAAGTTCTAATATTACTAGTTTTTCACGTCCATCTATTTGAAAAAAGTTTTGAAAACATGACTAATTTTTGTTTTAGCCCAAATCTCTTGATTAGGAAATGCGAAATACTGGAAATTGCTAAAACTTCTTTTCTCTTGGAAAAAAAATTATTTTTATTATAAAAAATCTATATAGACAGATCAGATCCTCGTCTATATCGCATAATGTAGCCAATCCCACATACTATCTATATCACCATTTGAATCAGATCAGTATCTCCTCATGCAACAAAAAATTTGAATGAAATAAATTCGCTTAAACTTTTGTCACTGACTATATTCAATAATTCACTTTCTGCTATTCATGCTAAAGTTTCTAATAATCTCTTTGACAAATAAATAGAACTTTTTAATTTTTAATTTTGTTTTCATTCACAAAACATTGATCAATTGATTTTAGATCAATGAAAATTTATCTTTATGCTAATATTCATAGTTAAGTTACTCATCAAATAGAATTTTTATAAGACGCAATCAAAATTATTGTTCTTAAGAATATAGAAATGAAAATGTGCTTTTTTACTTCTTCTCATCAACTAACACATACCCACACCCTTAGCAATATCATGTATGAATTTATCAAAAAGAAAAATCAATTGAAACAATATTTAATCATAATTCTTTCAATGAAACAAGCAATCTATAAGGAACAACTGATGAACGATTAACAGTGTAATATTCAATTTTATCATTTGAAATAAATGGACAAATTGAATCTTTGCCTCGTCCTACTGTTTCAGCTTGTACACAAAATGTTTTAGGTTTCTGACGACATTGGAAGACAATTTTTGCTTCATATTTTTTTCCAGACGAATCCGTAAAATTATAACGAACACTATATACATTTAGACTTGCATAAAGAATTGATGGTGATGTATATAGATGAGCTTTTCCTGGAATGTGTCCTGGTCGTATACCAAGAGGTTTACCATTCAATAGTGTATCACCTGGCAAAAGGAATTGACGATGGGCTAAAATGGATTCAACAGCAATGGTACTTGTACCATGATATGTGACGATCCATTCTTCCCATAAATTATGATAATCCACAAGTGTTGTATCGACTTGCAATCCAAAACCAGCCCAACCGCGTGGTACTACATAATCTTCACCAGCTGCTGATATTACATCAGACAATGACAATGAATAGCATTTCCTACAGTAACACCGATCGTGAGCAGGTTGAAAGAAGCAGTCTTTCCACCCGAGTGTTTGCACATATTCACGACACAGTTTGAACCACCGACAATGGTTAAACGCTGATAACACAGTCGCTTTAACCCGCGGTGTTGGAGCACGTGAGATTGACATCGATGTATCAGTAGATTGTGCTCGATTCGAGTTAAGTTGTGTTCTGAGATTGAGCTTTGAAAAAGTATTGTCCAGTTCTTCATTGTTCGAATTTTCGCTGCTAGAAGAAAATTCGAAACTTTCAGTATGACTTGACATCGACAAATGTGTTTTAAGAGAATGAGAGCTCTGCGTTGCATTATTCAGTTGTTTACATGACCAGCAACAGTAACCTTGGCCTAAACAAGCATCACAATTTTTCTAAATATTCACTTCCTTGAAATGTAGGTAATACAAAAAAAACTGAACGCGTTTTGAATAATAAGAGCACATCGACAGTGATTATCTTCTACTGCTAGATGTGTTTGTGTAATTTACTCCCGAACAATAAGAATAATCAATTTATAAGAATTAGCGTTTCGAATGAGATCGAATGATCACATCCTATAAAACGATTTTTGTTCTTGAAATATTTGAGGGCATTGTACGACATTTATGTCTGTTTCATGAGATGGAATTGTCACCCCATGGGATATCCTTCTTTCCTCGCTCATGAAAAAACGCGCCTATTATCTGATGAGATATGTACTCTAGGTACTTTAGTGTTACGACAGGTAATAGAACTCAGTATACTCTCATCATTGATCTGTTTCATCAATAGAAAGTTTCATTTGTTTTTTCCTTTCCTTCTTCTTGCATTTTTTCACTTAAAAACTTTTATACTATTATACAAGTGTAAACAATGAAAAACAAAATTAATTTTGTACACTGCTATGCGTTTCAAGGTCATTTTTAGTTGGAAACACTCTTCCTTTATATTAGTTGATTATCTGGATAAAATTTTTTAGATAGCAAGAATCTTTACTATATCCACTTCATATTAATCTTCGGCACATTTTGTCACAGATTCTAATTGAAGACTAACGAGTAATATATAGAAAATCTCGATGAACTTTTATCGAATCATAGCAATAACACAATTTATCAGAGTTCTCAAGTATCTGAAGACTTCCACTAGATTATGAAAAGATCTTTAGAGACCATCTCGAGTCTCAGACAACTAAGTAAACTCATGGTAAGCTAAGAATTCAAGAACTCGCAATACACTCAAAAGACTCAAAAGAAGTAACATTCCTTCTTCATACGTGAGGTTTGGTGTTGAAATAATGATAGGAAAACAGTGGGTTATGAATCCTGGCAAAATCCAGTAACTTCAGGCGACTATTAAACAATTCTAGTCAATTCACTATCGTATTCGCTGGAATTTAACATATCGTAATACTCTAAATGGCACATTTCAATGAGTTCTGATTTTTCTTGCAGCTTTGACAAATAATCTTGTCTATTTTATTTTTGGTACTTTTTTCGAAGAGAAGAAAAAATCCACATAATTAGAATTATTTGATAGAGCTACAGAGAGAGCCAGAGCGTCTTTAGAAAAGAAGAAAAGCAGGACCATTGTAATAATCCGCATAGATCCGCTGTTTTTTTTTGGAGAAACAAGTAAGATTCATGTGAATCATATAAAAATTTTAAGTACCAACTTTTAAAACTAATCTAGAGGATGACAGATAGAAGTAGACTGATAAGAGAGATTTAGAAAGTCATGGCCACCAATTTAACACTTAAAAAAATCCTGATATTGGAGGGATCGTTCTATGGGATCCATGACATGCGATGGAACATATCAGCTGATCACATGAAATGCATTATTGGTTTCATCCCATCGTATTCCTCTCTGAATCTTAGCTGGACAGTTCGCTTACAAGAATTACTAGCAAAAACAGTACCTTGTTTATAATTGCAATCCGTCCAAAAGTTTGCAGCGTTACAATGTGGACAGTTTACTTGTTGAAATTGTTTCTGACAGCTCCAGCATGAGACTGTAGCACCCTGTTGATAATTCGTTTCTTTCCAGAAGTTGTCAATATTACAATGTGGACAGTTTACTTGTTGAAATTTTTCCTGACAGCTCCAGCATGAGACTGCAGGACCCTGTTGATAATTGGCTTCCTTCCAGAAGTTGGTAGTATTACAATGTGGGCAGTTTACCTGCTGAAATTTTTTCTTACAGCTCCAGCATGAGACTGCAGCACCCTGTTGATAATTGGCTTCCTTCCAGAAGTTGGCAGTATTACAATGTGGACAATTCACTTGTTGAAATTTTTTCTTACAGCTCCAGCATGAGACTGCAACACCCTGATGATAATTGGCTTCCTTCCAGGAGTTGGCAGTATTACAATGGGGGCAGTTTACTTGTTGAAATTTTTCCTGACAGCTCCAACATGCATATGCGAGACCCTGATAATAATTGGCTTCCTTCCAGGAGTTGGCAGTATTACAATGTGGACAGTTTACTTGTTGAAATTTGTTCTGACAGCTCCAACATGCATATGCGAGACCCTGATGATAATTGGCTTCCTTCCAGAAGTTGGCAGTATTACAATGTGAACAGTTTACTTGTTGAAAGTCTTTTTGACACTTCCAGCATGCGTATACGAGACCCTGCTGATAGTTGGCTTCTTTCCAAAAATTACCAGTAGTACAATGCGGGCAGTTTACATATTGAAATTTTCCGTGGCATTTATAGCAGGCAATAACAATGCCTTGAGCTTCGTCTTGATTTGACAAGGATAGCTGTGCTGAACAATGTTGACAGTTGAAGGAATAAGTTGTCATTTGAGTTCTAAAATCAAGAGAAGTCAGTAATTACTTGATTGCAAAAGAAAATCATTTTTGCTTCTAGATTACCAGAGGTTATTGGTTGAGCAGGTGAGTGCAGGGTGTGGTTGTGACTAACATGTTACACCACAGTAATAACTCCAACAAGCGCCTAAGCACCTTCTACTCGACACTCCACTCCCATACCCTTCTGTCAAAACACATAGAATTTTAAAAGTTTGCGCTTTTATTATGGTATGTGATTCTAACTTGTCATGCCTTGGCAGAAACTTATAGTGGTAGAGTCATCGCATATCACAACTGTGGAAATTGCAAGTATATAAAATTAAAAATTAACTCATAGAAGATGATGTTATAATTGTCGCTCACTCGATAGTCTTTCATTTCGTATCATGCCTTTTTGAGCGTAAACAACCGTTTCTAGCAAAGCGATGGCGAAAAATACGGTTATCTGTAAACATCGTTCTTTGAAATCATCCTATCTTCTTACTGTAGATGTGATCGTAGCATTCGCTCAATGTCTAAAGAGTAGTCGAATGTGAATGTTAGGTGTAGTTAAGAGTGTGGTGCGCTATAGGGTGGATATGAGCGTCTATTTGCTCTTCACTGATACCCATGCGCATACCTATCTCGCACACCCACACCGCCTTAGACTACGTCTCATACAAATTTGCAACCATATGAGTTAGAGAGCTTAAATTTAGTGTGCATATGGGGCATGTAGGGTAGAGAAAGGTATAAAACGGCTGTCCAAATCGGTCAACTGGAACAAACGTTATTAGTCAAGTACCTTTAACATCTTAATCATACCACAAAGTTGTAATTGTACATCTATAGACTGGCAGTGTGTTATAATGCTGGGAAATCAAGAATAGGGAAGTGCTATTCTGTCCTAATCAGTAGAGAGATTGTAAAAATAGGTAAGATGAGAAAGCACAAAGAACAAAAATAAGATACTCGTCTTGTAATCAATGAATGAGTGAGGAGAAATTTTGCCAAACAATTTTATTGCCTGAGATGAAGCATACGTGTACAAATAACAGAAGTATGTTATAACAAAAAGACACGACAGATCATTAGTCTATATGTTAATGCAGTCAACAGATTAAGAAGCGAGTAATTCTTTCTTGTGTAGATAGATGATACGAATGTACCCCCGTCAACCAGAAAATATTTTATTTCTAGTTATAACGAAATTGAGCGTTCGAATAATGTATTTGGTTCAATATTTATAAGACTAATCTCACGCAACATATTAATCTATGTAATCCTTATGTTCTTATTCTGGAAACGAAATCGGTTTTCAATGTGAAAATTTATCCGATATTAATGGTGAGTTTTACACACTCATAATCGTTTTGTAACGAGTTTTTCTTACTGCTCGAATTTTGTCACAACTCAACTCATGTTTTATAAAATCTACGAAAACAATATCTACTATTGTAGAAATGAATTCATACAGATCATATGGTGCACCGCAACTCCATGATTACTTTCTCATAAATGGATAGAATGGACTGAACTCTAACAACTGAATCCTATTGTATACATCTGTCGGATTTCAGTGAAAAGTCCAGTAATCAAAAGACGTTAGAGATTAGAGGACTCTATTGAGATTCGATCGAATTCCGACTATCAGAGTTCCATTGGATTCAGTCATCAGAACTCATTCGATTGAAACAGATCCAACAAAACCAATCGCGCACTTTCGACCAAAAATTATAAAAAAAACAAACATTCGAAGACTGTCTAAGAAAGACAAATAACTTTTGGCTTTATAGATACTCACAATCAGTGTGTACTGCCTTCGTGTTATTATTGTCGTCAAAATGAAAGTTATTCGTCGCTTTTTTCTCTTTCTGTCTTGCTTTCATGTTGTAAAACAATGTTGTAACACGTGACATAGGTGCTCATTCTTCAATCAACACAGAATCGATAAACAGTGAAAGCAGAAATGACTTTTGTTACTATAGTTTATTGGACGATTAATATTTCAAAACAGAAAGAAAGCGAAAAACGCAAGGAGTGGCAAAAGACATTATATAAATAAACAAGGGTTGTTAAACGAGTACAGACGTAGACGAAAATAAGGCTCACAAATACATCTACAATCACACTCACAATATCGCTTTCGAATTTTGTGATCTGATCCAAGTTAAATATATTATTCAATCATGATCGAACTGGCTGTGAGGATGGGTATGAGAGTGTGAGTGCGGGTGTGTGGATAAAGAGAAGACAACACACACAGACTCAGATCTAAATCCTATTGTAAGTTCAGATCATATGGTGCTAGAAATTAGTACGATTTAGTCTATTGTAAGACGTTATTGAATTGGAAAAGAAATCACTGTAACATTGGTCTTAAATGAAAGTCGTAGAAAAAAATAAGATTGTAATAGTGAATGGGAAATTAGACCAGTTTTGATTAGTTTAAAGAAGATTTCTAAAACTAAAAGCCTACATGAAAGAATACCCTTAGTCACATATAATTTAGTTGCATCAAATAGTCGAAACGTTGTGAATATTTTGCAGCTATGTTATCGGTTTCTGTCACTTTGCAATATCAATTCTGTGTAAAAAGAATTGAATTTTTCTCATATTTACTAAGAAAAATAATATTATGATTGAAAAAATTGTGATTTTGTCTTGCTAAGTGATGAGTGCATTATCATTTCAAAAGAAAATGCAAATGAGAAAGCAGTTAAGGAAATATGCATTCAATAGCAGTTACTGGCATATTTTCTTTTTCAAGTAAACTTTCTGTACAATGTTAGAACTAATCGGATCAATCATCTCAGTATGCAAATGAGTAACACCAATTTTTTTTTGCGCTAATATGCTCAGAGTGCATTATTAAGGTCTTTCCCCTCAAAAAAAATTATTTTTGTCCAAAATTCCAAAATTGAGATAAACACATGGAAAGATAGTCCGTCTTCAGATCTTTCATAAACGAGAAAAATTTTTACTCAACAGCTCATTTTTTTGGAAAAATTTTTGGAGATTTCCGTCATTCTCTCTTCGAAAAGCAAGCTGCTTTTTGAAAACAATCGAAAATCTTCTTCGCTTTTTCTCAGTTCATGATTTGTCGAAAATGCAACCCAAATTTCTCCGTACAGGTTCATGTTATATATTTAAATTTCTTTTGTTGAAAAGAACATGTTGGGATGCAGGATACCACAGAGTCCTTTTTTTTTCAAATACGCTTTTTTATTATCATATAAGAAAAGATCTTTATAGAAACAGTACCCTTTTTTTAAGGATCGTTTGAGTTATTGAACTTGTGATTCCTTCTTTCCGCTTAAAAAGTAAGAATTTAAAAAAAAGGACTTTGTGGTGCCCTGAATCCTGACATGCTCTTGCAAACAAAAAAAATTAAAGATATAGAATGAGCCCGGACATAGAAATCCGCGTTGCCAAATGAGCTATGTTGATTCTTGTTTGGTCAATATCTCTCTCAAACATCATGATATCGAGCTGAAAATTTTACCATAGCTTTCCTACAGCAGTCTCAAGATATCTTGAAAATTTGGTGCCATTTGAACGTTTCTGGACTGAGATCGACTTTTGACGAGAAATGAAGAGGCATTCACAGATGCAATAACCCTTTGGTAATCCGAGCACCACTTTACATACTCGATGAAATGTGTTTTAGTTCTAAGGATGTATTACATGTTTGTGAGCTACCTGTGTCAACAATGGTTCACTGAGAAGTTAATTGTTTTCAAAAAGAAGTACGGCTACATTGTGACTTTCAAAGGAACAGTGGACGGATTTTTTTAAGCAGATTTTGTAGCGATTTTCTGAGTCTAAGTGACTGCTGATTGTGCATTTAAAAAAACGTTTGAGTCTATGTCAAGTAATGGAGAATAAGGAATCACATAGTCACCCATATAAGCGAAAGTTTTCTAGGTAAATATTTCTATGGGAAGTTAATACTCTAACATGAAGTTATTTAAAAAATTTTAACAGCAAAGAGATGTTTAGTGCTTCTTAAAAATCAAAGATAAACATAGTGATCAAAAGAAACATGAGGTCACAACGACAAAGATGTCGGTTATTACAAAATAGAGACGATACTCTACATACTTATCGTCATTTTTTCAAGAAAAACACAGACACCTTATGATTATCATAATTAAGTTCGTGGGACTATCAAGGCATGTTTATTACGGTACGAATTGTAGCATCAGAAGCTTTTCATTTCAATATGATGTGACAGTATCGCGATCGGATCGATATCATTTTGCCAATCTTTTCCAAGACGTTCTCTTTGCAAACAAATGTTGCTTGTTTTATTGTTAAATTCTGCCTGATAATGTCTTTCAACAGTTAACTGACATTCATTTATAATTAATTTAGCCATCGAGCAAATTTTTGATATTTTAATACGCTCATTATCAATTAAGAATAAGTCACTATTAAATGACCAAAAGATTTGATTATCGGTTCGACCTTTTATAAAAATACATTCTAATATAAGTAAGTGATTCATCTGGAAAAACAGAAATATCTTGTAAACCAATATCAAATTCAGCTGAAGATCTATTCAAATTTAAAGAAAAATTTCTTTTTTGTATATTACCTTCAACTTGAAGTGTACCATTCAGATGTTTTAATTGACTATTCTAGATCAAAGAAAGCTAGTCCACAGGTTTTTCTTCAAAAATAATGGCCCACCTTTCAGTCACTCATCAATTATATTGGATAAATTGTTAACACATGAATGAGCAATCATATTTCGAGTACCGGTAGTTGATGTATAAACAAATATTCAATTACATATTTAACAATTTGTTTCATGAATGAAAAAGTTCAGTAGGAATAGAATTAGAATTAGAAAATAATAATTGATGATAATGTTGTAATTGTTGATAAATGAGGAGAACTAGATAAAGACAT